ACGGGCTGTTATTTTCCAATTTTCACTTATCAAATACCAAAACTCAGAGATTACCATCAAGTGATTAAATTTATTGAATATTAACATTATAAATATAACTAAATAAATTTATTAAAATTCATTACAACAATAAAAATCAATGGTGCCAAAAACTGAATTCATGACCAATATTTGGATATGTCTTCCTAGTGTGACCAGGGGTGTGACAATAAGAACAATTTTTTACACGATTATGTTGTTTTCTAATGTCCATCTCTGTTCTAATTCCGCTGCACTTTGGCCGACCCTTAAAAGTTCTCTTGAGTTTTCAATTTGGCCACAAAGTTGGAAGAAACGTAACATCCGACAGAAGTTTGACCTGCTGAGAGATTTACAGTAAGGCTAAATGAAACATGGTATGATTGCGGTAAGTTCCACAAAGTTCATATCCCTTGCTCGCATGACCCGCTAGGAGATTTACAGTAAGGCTAAATGAAATGTGGTATGATTGCGGCAAGTTTCAAAAAGTTCATATTCCTTCCTCGCATGACTTGCTAGGAGATTTACAGTAAGGCTAAATGTAATGTGGTGTGATTGCAGCAAGTTCCAGAAAGTTCATATTCCTTACTCGCATGGTCACATCCCTGGTCATACTAGGAAGACATATCCAAATATTGGTTATGAATTCAGTTTCAGCCACCATTGATCTTTATTGTTTTATTGAATTTTAATAAATTTATTTAATTATATTTATAATGTTAATATTTAATAAATTAAATTATTTGATATTAGTTTCTGAGTTTTGGTGTTTAATAAGTGAAAATCGAAAAATAACAGCCCGTTCCGGATTCAGAACGGCCCGTTCTAGTTCCACTTTTTATATGCTAATTTTGAATCCGGAACGGCCCGTTCTGATCCATGCGTCACATGTTATTTTTTAATTTGGAACGGCATGTTCTGATTTCGGAACGGCCCGTTCTAAACATGAACAGTAAATGGTGCTAGTTGGGGAAATAAATTTGGACGGTTGCTATTTAGTAATTTTTTTTAAAATAGTATTATTTGAGTAAAAAAATTATATTTATATATATATATATATTAAAATTATTAATTTTTAATAGGAGAAAC